AAACAAAACTAACTTTGGCTTTGTACTCATCAACGAAAAACCTGTCCCGTGAGGAGGCTACAGTGGTGGCAGGCGGATCTTCCTTTGATATCGCAAACAAGGGTTTTTGAATAAAATACAGCAAGGCGTCCGAAAAAGGATTATCTATGAAATATACAGTCAAAAATCTACAATAACTTGCAAAAAACGAACCTTTTGGAAGGCATGAGTCCATACATTATCTGTTACATTATATATCTCTTAAACAAGATATGAATGGTTGTTTCGCAACGGCACGTCGTTTGGCAAAGCCACAATTTGTCGGAAACTGTGAAGAACCCGTCAACCTGAGAGGAGATGCGAGTGTAACAGACTTAGATACCTAAATAAGCAATAAAATAAAATTAGGAATGTACAAAATCTGCAGCTACTAAAATCATCCTAGAGAAATGGTATTCTCATGGTTATATGTTTATGTAAGCAGATTTATATGTAAACTTCTAAATGCGACACATGCGTATTCAGCATAAAATGTTACTATAACCTATATATAACGTAGATCGTTGTAAAAATAAAAATTACCTTCAAGTTGCAATCATGAAATAAAAACATAAATAACATATACACAAATATACATCATAATAATGGGATTACTTCGATCGTCTGAAAATGGGCGATGAATCGTATCGATCAGCTGAACAGCCTCTGCCTTCTTCCTCCAAGCACGGCCTTCCTGACTCCTGATATAAACTTCCCGGTCGAAGTGGTAGTGGTCGAGGAAGTGGCCTAGTCGACCAATGAGGGTACCAGTCGGCCATCATCACTAACAGTCTCCCGTCTGGCATTATATTCGGTATTCCGTAATTTCTCTGTTCTGCTTTGAAACACGAACGAACGGTTTACTTAGAACAGCAAAAAAAACGTTCTCTCTGTTTAGGCACCAGCATCGATACGTTTGCTTGAACCTCATCTGCCTTCTTCAAGACACAGGTAGTATTCTTTGATTGGAATAAAAGTCTACAGAGTCTGCAGCTGGTTCCTTATAGCCATCAGCATTAGTTAATTACTAGAGACCACCGTATTGTGACTTTATAAATAAATCGTATTTTGTATATTCTACTGTACTTAACAGTTTGTATTTTACCTTTTATTTTGCAAAATACAGTACTTTGTATTGTACTACAATTAACAATTTTTAAGAATAAATAAGAGAAAATCCCTTACAAGATCTCCGTCTCTAAGCATTCTGCTTTCAAAACGTCGTACAAACGTAAGTTATTTTCGATAACATTGGCAGAAAAGGTTTGCGAATTAACGAGGGAGGGTGCAACCTTTCGCGCCATTCGAGTACGTTTTTGCTAACCTCCTTAAAACAATAAAACGATGATCCAATAATTCTTGAAATACACAAAAAGAAAAAAACAATCACGTCCTGAATATTGAAGGGAGAATACGGAACTTTATGTCTTCGAAGACAATCCTTTGTATTTATCTCATCCTTTCACATAATTTATTCTTCAACTGTTGCGCATCATGCGGAAATATAAGTTTAACCTCATCCACTTCTCAGATGACCCTGAATAAAAAAAAACAAATGGACAAATTCACTTGATTCACTGCGATCAACAGATTCCATTTTTCAGGCTGGCAACGAAAGATATTACCTTTATACCACTGAACTTCGCATGATATCAATCTGAGATACCATTTCTAAACATCAGGTATAATATAATAAATCGGAGTTACTCTGCCGTTGAAGCTATGGTAACCGTTGATGACAATGCCAAACCAAGAAACTTCACAGCAGTGATTAAATAGCAAAACCCAATAAAGCAGCTGATAAATTTGGCGGAGATATCGAGTACGAATTGTGCTGACTGAAGTGTCTGAAAACTGAACAAGTAGCTGAGAGTTTCTGAGCTACACAGTGACCGATGAAATATAAACTAGAAGATGAAACGATAGTCATGACAATACACGTTACAATTTTGTCTTATAGTATCAAGCAAACGTTAAAAGCTAGGCAATGCGCAAAAACACGATGATATATATATAGAAGAAGTAGAAGCAAGTTCGAGTAACAGTCGCGTAGATCAGCAGGTTCTAATTCAATAATCCCGCAGACATCAGAACTTTTAAATCCGATAAAAGGGATTTATATGGATTCAAAATTAAAGCATGCCGAACAAAAACAATTGCGGAAAATATTGCTTTGAAATGTACCCAAAAAAGTTTTAAATTTGTTCAAAAAACACATGGGGCTGAGAATGAAAGCGAATAAAGCCACAGACATACAGAATTATCATCAAAATATGAGTTAGTGTAAAACTGTCCCAACGTAGTAGAACAGTTCTTCGGTTGTGTTTACATACTTTAGCAAGAATCCCTGAATTATTAACATTGACCTGAAAGGGAATCACCCAATGAATCGTCTAGAAGTCTTGTAGACAACGAGAGGAAGTAACAATGAGCGAATTTCGCGTGAAAAACCTTTAACATCTCTTCGAAGGTTGAAGCCGACTAAAAAATAATGAAATATAACAGCATAATTGCTTAAGGAAGACATGTTTCCAATCTCATAGTTTGCTGTGCATTCATAACGTTCTGTTCCTATTCTACTGATTCTACAATTAGATTATCATTCTACTGATTATTCAAGAAATTTTAGTTATTATTTCATAGCTAATTCAGATATGGTCTTGTTTAATTGCGTTCTGCAGGCCAAGAATAGTTTAATAGAATATTGGACGTTACTGAGTAGGGAATAAAGCCTGTGTCAGTAAACATATATGGTAAATAGCTCAAAATGAACCAGCAGTTAACTAACTGTTGAAGGAAGCGTTTTTATATGCAATTTGGTTAAAAAAATATTCAAATTTTCAGCCCAAAATTGATTCTGAGTAAAACAGCTGCAACTGGAAAGTGAGAATGAAAGAAAATGAAACGAGAATGTTTTGCCGTCGTAAATGGAACTGATTGTACTTCATCGATGCGTGGTTAAATGAAAAATGTCATTCACTACATGAAGCAAGTCGGAAAACGTCCTTGATGAAGTTTAGAAGTGCCGTCATTCGCTAACTTTATATTTCAAAATCTTAAGAGAAAAATCTAACATTTTATCAGTTGATACAACCGACAAGAATACGCAATTCAGAGAAATGAATTTTCCTGCTGCCAACCCCAGAATAACGAAGTAACGCTTTCAGATTTTTCTTCAAAACCTCAAATTGACAAATAACAAGAAGACAGATGGACGGATTTAATGGAAACTAATCGCAAGAGCCGATACATGAATTTTTTGAATTCTCGATATTAACAAAAAGGCGTGATAACAATTAGCGCCAAGCGGTGTTGCCAACTTTTAGAGAGCGTACGGTCGCATTTGGACAGAGATTCTTAAATTTGATTGCTTGAAATTTAACGAAATTGATTTATTAAAATTTTGACAATGAATTCAGCTCAAATAATCGGATTAGGCAATTTAGATAAAAGATGCATTGTGCATAAACCCTCGATTACCATATTTCACGGCCTATTGCAATACCACTTTGCTTGAAACTACATGGGGAAATAAACCTTTAAGATCACGTTTTCATGATATTGAGAGAGGTTTCGTGCATATGCATTATCTCGTATATTATAAAACAAAATAAAGTTTATAATCGTTGAAAAGTCTATATTCCCTATGCTGTAATGATTCGGCCTAACGTAACGCTCTTTTTCATGAAGTTAATAATAAACCGTTGGTCTCAAGTTCCATATCATCAGAAAAAGTTCGTATTCAAAGACCAACTACACTTCAACCATTTGACAAACATAAGGTGTGGTCTCTTGCTGCTTATTCATAGGGTGATGCTTACTTATGTACCCTGGTAAGAACATAAACGAATGACACTAATGCGTGGTCGAATGTGGAGACCTCTCGTTTCTGAGTCCAACGTTCTACCGGCTGATCACTCCATCTAGCTCGTTAGAGACTCGCCGCCATCATTATGTTTCTAGAGCTATTAAATCAGGAAGTTCTATATTCACAGAATTTTAAAGCCCAGTGATGCACTCGTTTTATTCTAAATTTCATATTTGTATTGTTTCAGTTTACGGTTGGAACGTGTTATGAGCGCTTACTTCATATATGCCACATCATAAGCATGAAAATGCTCCATTGCGCACAGTATCGAATATAAGGTTTTGTAGAGTAATCCACTGCCAATTGCTCAACGGAGTTTTCGGTTCCAAGTTTCTTCTTTCCAATGATCAGTTGTTGGAGAACCCTGCGGAGATTTACAATGTTCAAGAAAACGAGTGCCTGTTAAGAGAAACTAGGCTTAAACATTTTCTTTTGTGATAAAGATTTACCAAGGGCATCAAAGTAACCTGGTACCACCCGACTCACTGGTAACTACGGATTGCAGATTTATTTTGATCACGTGACAATGTCTACTTATAATTTGTCCAAAGTTTTATTCTTAATCCTGGGACATCCTTAAGAACTACTCTGCGAAACCTGTTCATTCATGCCATTAATCATATGAACGGAAACTCATCTGGTAGTATCACTAAATTTTTATCGAATTTTAGAGAATGAGAACTTTTACATATTGTATCAGCATTGAATACACAGCATATCAACAGTTTTAACATTCTAGTTTCAAAGTCGTAAACACAGAATATAACATAGTTTAGAACCAAGGGTGAAAAGCAGGGCTCATACGACAAAGGTTGTCAAGAGTTTGAGCAGCATTGATAAGCACCGACAAAGTACTCTCGCCAGTATCCGGATTCGCCAGACCTAAATGAACGTTTGTGAAGAGGCTAAAGATAGCAACAAACAAATAGAACCGTACCTTGAAGCCTGTTCGTTATGGCAGTGACCGCTTTGGAGACCTTGTTCGATAGTGGCTCTGCGTTTGAGTAGTTGGAAAGGGCAAAGTACTCCTCCCAGAGAAACAGCTGAAGCCAGTCATACAGGTCGGCGTGCTGCAAAATGCGAGCCGTCAATTTCATCCATGGCAAAATATTGCCCAAAACGGAAACGCCTAGAAACTCGGTCAAGGCAGGTGTAAGTCGAAAAGGGACGGGTCGATTGGCATCAAGTTCACCTGAAATACAAACCATGGTGTAATGGGCAAGGGAACGATTAACAGGACGTTATTGTATTCAAGCGATGTAAAGTAAGAATGTGATAAAATCTCACACATTTCTGTACCACAACACCTCAGACAACGTGTTTAGCTAATTAAAGCCTGATCCATTGTTTGGTCACAACCTCTTCCAGCATTAAAGTGTCTGAATTGTCGCATTGCCATCTGAAATGTCACGGGATATTCCATAAACAAACGTAAAAGCTTCCTTGTCTAGTGAGCAGTGATTGGATAGAGCATTATAAATAGTACAAGTCGGAATTGGTAGGAACGACGACCAAGAGGAAATGACCTTCAATTCATGATAATTAGCAGTTAGAGTAACCGGAACTAAGTCTGCATAAAACGAGCGGCAAACGTTGGAAAATCGGTGTCTTGCTGGTTGTTAGTTGTGCAACATACTTGTGTATTTTGAGCATTCCGTCAGTGCGTAGGGGGTATAACGATAACAGCATAATACACGGTTTATTTACACATAACGCAAACAAACAGAGTTACTCAGATGATTGTGGAGCACCAATGTTTCGTACAGTCTCTCAAGTCCTTCAAGGAAAAAAAGCAACCTGGTTCCAAATAAACGAACCGCAGCGGACAACAAGAAAAAGTTTCAAAACTGAATTAATTTCTTACCTTGGAAGAAGTCCTGACACACGGGCTGAAACGCCAGTATTGCTAAACCATCCGATTAATGATGCGGTTTGCGTTGTGTATAGATAAACCGTTTTGTGCCGTTTTAAATTGTGCATTTTAAAATAAACATGGGTAATGATTTGCCCTGTGTTATGATACGCTGAACAGTAATGCGATGCGCAGACAAGGCATATGGCATAAAAATCGTTGGTGCTACGGAACCGTTACTCGAATGCTAACTACGACTTGTCGTCGTCTTGCCAGAATTAGTCATATGGACTTCTTCCGACAACATTCCCAGAACTGCTCGCTGGCATCAATCCCATCTTTTAAAATTTCAGGGGTGCAGTCATTAACTCAGCTTCAGATTAAAGTCGAAGAGTCCCATCGCGTCGGCCTATACAAATTCATAACATGTGACGTAAATCTCAGTCAGTTTTCGAAGTCCCATCATTGTAACAGTCCCAGACTCATAAAATGGAATTTATTTAGTAATGCACCTCATTCCTAGATCGAAACAGGGATCTCAGAATGCAACGCACAACATCGTTCTTAGTCTGTTTAGTAAGTATTGCGGGCACGGATCATCTTTGACTTTCGGGACTGTGTTGTCACTGACAGGAACAGTACAATCCAAGAAATGGAATATTCCAAAAGTTTCTCTCGCAGCAGTGATAATCAAGATGGCTGTTAACTGTTATTCAGTAGACCCAGCTGCCAGGGACAACCATAAGCTAGATCTCTCTAACTGCATCTACTTTACAGTCATATCAATGAAATGTTAACAACGTTCATTGATTAGTAACAGCAATTCATTAACAGCAGCTAATTACCGGTTGATTCGTTGATGTCAAACCTGAAGTGAAACGACGTGACGGCACCTGACGTCATCGAGAACTGTAGCTGCTCAGGAAGAACGGACGACAGATGGAACAGGAACTCAGACAAATTTAGAACCGAGAGATGAAGGGCAACCTGTCGTACAATTAAATGTCAAGTCATGAATGAAATACTAGTGGCAAATTCATTACTTGTTTTCGAAACACGAAGTACTCCGTTGGGTCCTGGTACCATAATTGAAGCTGAGTTTTAAGCGCGTTCCTCGGAATATACGTCTTCTGTATGTCTTTGAACACGTCGCGCAACGACTGATGCGACGGCTGACAATTACGAATCTGTTGCTGAGCGATCTTCTCGAAGTATTTGTTGTAAACGTTGTCTAGGTCGAAGTTGTTGCTGGAACAATGCTGAAAAACCAGAGCTTAAACGGACGAACGGCATTTCGAAAGAAACGATGTGCCAAACGCAGTGGCCAAGAAAAACTGGCACAAACAATGAATCCACACTAGAGAGTAACGATTAATTTCGCTGTCACAGATTTACCAGTTTCCAATAGCATCGGTAAAAAGAGCACTACAACCAGTTTTGTGTTCTAGCATGTCTTCGTCTGACCTAGCAAACTGGGGCTACTTTGAGCCCGCACACTAGGTGCTAAGGTAACCCCAGATACTAAAATACCCGTCAGCCATGGCCTGCTAAAACAGTCTTCTAAGCTACTAGAAACAAGGAGACGGCGAAATCAAATATAGACACTTTCATTAAATTCCTCTCAACATTGACGTAGGTGTCGTTCCAACAGACTCATAATCGAAATATTTACTTAAAAATTCACACCATTTACGCATCTGTTCATCATCCAATCTAAATATCACGTTTGGTGAACTCAGATGACAACTGATTTTAGAAGACACAGCACTGTCCACATTGAGTGGAAAATAAAAGAATGTATCTACGGTGATTATATACATAAGAAATTTTTTTGTTGCATTTTAAACTAAAATGAATAGGCTGTACAAACCAAAGGCCACCCGCGATAACGGTCCCAGTAAAGATGGACCGATGACATAGAAGTCTTAGCTATGTTAGTCCTTAAAATCCGGAGGATGAAACTGGTCAATTCAACGGTAGATCTTAACCATAGAAATTCCTAGCGAAAGAGTTGCCGCTTTGAGCAGAAAGGCACAACAGGCTTTGTAAATATATGAAGAAACGAATACTAGGAAAGTAAAGTTAGTCACCGCTGGAACGTGGCACCGTCTTTCTTCACTTATGTGATTGGGAGATTTTGGTACCCTTCATTTCATGAAGTTGATGGTGCAGTGAAAATCTTCGTTTCCTTGCCAATAGCCAGGAATGCCTTATAACTCTTCTAAGACAGAGTGTACAGTCATGCGGCAAACATAGTATATAGACTCCCGTTACCCTTCCACAGAGTGGTACTCATTTATCAACGTTGGAAGAGAGAAGTGCGAGTGACCCCGACAGGGGCTTGAACTCGGGACCAATCGATTCTGAGTTCGACGCTCTACCGACTGAGCAACCCCGGTCTGAAGCAATGTGTGGTGAATTCCTTGTTCGAAGATTTTTGAATAAAGCAAAGACTGCCTCTGAGCAGAATCGAACTAAGCACCTCAAGAGATTCAAGCAGACCTCTAACACAAATATGCCAACACCCATAGAATGAAAGAATGAATAAACTCGTTCAGCCATATACCAGGAATGAAAAATAGATTTTTGCAGAACAGCACTAAATATTATAAGGGTTGCTATTACACTTCAAACGAAATATCAACTTATTACAACAAGTAGTTCAAGCAGTAGGCAATGGAGTGGTTTGGCGCAAATTTTGAGAATTGTTATTTCAGGAACTGGTGGAAGATATCCTAGGGATAAAGCAAAGTGTCTGCTTGAATAGCTCCTACGACGATTCTGGTACATTTACTAAAATAATGAAAATGATCAATTTCCAAATAACGTAAATAAAGTGGAAGCATATTCTGATACAGAAAGCAAACAGTGAAGCCTACAGCCCAGCAATTCTGTTTGATGCACGTCAGAACACTTACAACTGTGTGTTATGCGCTTTAAACCAAGGCTGATGAGTTATGATCATATTAACATATTCCTGAAAAGCAAACCCATATTCTGAAGTACCGCGAAAGCACATGAGGAAATAATTCACTAAATAAATCATTTGTGCCAAGCGTGGCATTGCTTCAGCCAATAAATTTTTATACAAAATTATTTGCAAAGAGTGAGATGTGACAAAGAGTTGATCTGATGGACTGGTCCTGCAAGCATTTAAAAGTAAGGGAATAGCGCTGTAATAACGCCGGAAAATGGGGATCAGTCGCAGTAGTGAGCTTGAGAAAAATTCATGCCACTTTTGTTTTTGATCAAAAAATATCTGCCAACGCACATAACGAATTTTAACGAAAGAAATTTAATGAAATTTAATTTTTAATCGACAATATTTTGATGCGTATAAAAGCGGTCAAAATAATTTATGATAGATATTTTATTAAGATAAATCAAGTATGAAAGGCACGCAACAAAAAATTCACCTGTGTCTGATATGCCAGCAATAAATAAAGACTGGTACCATTAAAATCAGCATACCTCGTTGAGGAAATCCAGAAGTGTTCGCGAAGACGGAATGTCATGCACCAAAAGGAAACCGGAACCTAATGGAAGAATGTCTGGGACCTGTATCTGCATAACACCGCTGCTCGTACAACAGTTCTGAAACATGCATTACGATAAGATGTAATAAAGAAGCGATATACCATAATCAGTGACAAATTAAATACTAACGTCGGCAGGTTTAACGAATCTCT